GTTAAAGTGACTGTGGAAATTAAGTGTATTACAAAGTTTGTAACGAGAAAGAATAAATTAGTTTTAATTAAGAAAGGACTTGCATAGCTGAAGTTCCTCAGATAGAATTTTTACGGGAAATTATCAAACAAACAGATACGTAACGATATATAATGCCAGGAAATAACAATCGTATGCTGTTTAAACTACCAAATCCTTTTCAAAAATTAATAGACAAAACTGAAATGATCAAAACGAAGTATTGCTTAGATTACAATGGTTTTTAAAGTCGGGATTGAGAACAGGAAATTAATCTTTTAGTTGATCTTAAGTCTCTACCCAGAAAGAGCGGCTTCTATTGCTCTGGAAGCCAGAGGGTCTACATGAGTTCTTGTCCATTCTAGGCCATATTGGGACACTAAGTGTTCACTTTTCTGCTAGGATGATCAGTAATCAATGGATTTTTACCACTTTATCTCATGCTCCAGTGAAAACAAGAAGGAGTCCTCAATAGCCGCGGATGTAATTTGATCTCAAATCAATCAAGAGATGGAGCTATGAACTAAAAGTTTGCACTTGAAACAAAAAACTCAGAGCCATTCTATGAGCCGCTATGCCGCGGCTGAAAATTACGGACTATTTAACATACAAGTCGGGCATTTCATGACAACTTTAGACAGATACTACATAGAGCTTTATAATTCTAATGATTAGACCATATAAGCACAAACTACTTATTTCGTAAAATATTGAGGCAATACTTGTATAAATTAATTTAACTAGGACAAGTTACTGACCAATCATTTACAAACTGAGATTTTTAAATTCTGAAAATATGGAACATTATATACGTTCATGCAAGAACTTCTGCCTATCCTACTTCTTTATCTTTCAATTCTTAGAAATGGTGCATGCTGGAAATTCAGTAAATTATGGCTAACAAACGAGACATGATATAAGATACAAAAGTTGATTGTAAGTTGTTATTGTTTTTCTATGAAATTTACTAAAAAGAATCCCTGACTTGCAATTAAGCACAAAAAATGTCTTACTGTCTCATAAAATTTAACTGAAATATAGCATTATATATATTTTTCGATAGCAAGCTTTCTAACTTCTATTCTGTCCAGTTCAGGACAATCTAAATAGAAAAGTTAAATCGGCTAGAAATGAATTTTCATTACAACGGCTGTTATTTTTAACATGAAGTTAAAATTCTCGTCCAACAAATCGTTACTTTACACACTGTTATAGGTAAATGTACCTTAAGAAAATGTTACTAAAAACAGAATAAAAAATACGAAACATGTGGTTTGACTTTATTGTTTCGGATATTCACGGAAAGGGCTATCTCCACTTGCTGTTCCCAATTGTGAACTTAAAAATTGTAGGGAAGGCAGTTTTGTCAACAGCACCCACCATCAACTCTTGGTCTACTCTAATTGAATAGTGGGGTTTGAATTTTACTGTTATAACACACCTATGGGCCCTAAAGTGTAAGGATTTTTTTCTAATTATCAACACGATAATTAGAACACAAAGTTTGATACATGACGGATATCCGTTTATGTGGTATAAACGGACGGTGCATAGCAATGCATAAATGAAACTTTTACCCAGTTTCACATAGCAATGATTATCAATTATTAAATACTGTCTGAAACTAACATTACAATTGGTTTGTGAGTTTTTAATTACGTGGGATAAAGAATAACGACATTTTGAAAAATCCATTTCGAATTAGCTAGTCAATGGTACAATTTAAATCTTTAGATATTACTAAAATTAATAGAATAAAACTAAACATACCAATACTCGTCTCTTAAAAATAAAGTGATGGATCAGGAACCAGGAGCTCAAAGTAAATGATAGTGAACTCGGCAAGATATGTCTTTGTTCTAAAACATACTCCTACGAAGGTACGCTGTTCTGTTATCTCTGTTGTGCAACTACACGGTGATAAACAAAACACTCGTTACGGCGTTATGTTCTAAGTCCACGAATTTCCGTTTAAAATATTTGAGTCAGGTAAAGTCAGGACATGGAAAACATAGGATGATCTCATGAATCACTAAGTAGGCGAAGTCAAAAACTATGATGTATCACGTATATGTTACTCATCAGTATAGGATATAACGTAACTACTTAAGTATGAAATATATATGTCATAACAAAATATCCTGTACTTATATTTTAGATAAACAGTGGAAGATCGTTATATAAACACAGCCGTCTATATTTTTTGGTACAGTAATTTTACAGGATACATATGACGAAGAGATAAATTATCCCTATAGGTGAAAACAATTGTATTTAAGCACAATGCTACACAATAGGCTATCTACGGTATACCTACCGCAGGTATCAAACTGCGATTTAAACGTTATAGCCCAGGAGTCAGACCAGGTCTGACTATCAAACGAAGGGACTAAACGCCACTATGGTTTTCAGTTAGCCTTATGTTTGTAGTATCTGTAAAAAATGTGATGGACATTTTAGAACCAGATCTAAATGACTTTTTTGGCAGCCATCTTTACAAATGGTTGCCAATTTGTTAAAAATCATCATTTTGGTTTATCTGTGGGCAGCAAAATAACCTTGACAAAATGTATCTAAAATTAGTTATGGCCTGCAGCTACGTTTATTTTGTAGGAATTGTGTCATTATTTGGAACTATATTTTATGAACTGGCTCTTGAATTCTGCACAATTTTCATCATAAAACATAAACTGCTGTCTCATGTATATAGTTACTTGAAAGTGATGTTTATTGTTCTTTGTGCACTCTACGTTACGTTTTTAACGGGCGTGTGGGCAGTCCCTGGGCTTAGTCGTTGTGCTCGACGTTACACTCGTTACAAAAGAATGTATTTGGGTTTCAGTTAGTGCTTTTGCGAGCCAACAACTCGAGGAAATGTACGAGTGGAATAAAGAACAGAGACAACGGAATAAAAATCAAATAACTTCTTTATTTGTACACTGTTGAACAGTTCATCTATGTCGACATTTTTAAGGTTATGTTGAAACAGCACCAACTCTAAATCATTGAATTATTCGTTTTGAAGATATATGTGCTCATTAATAAGACCTTCTATTAGATTCAGTAACATACACACAACATTAGTTAAGTTACCAATTCAATTAACACGAAAATTTCTATCGGTCATAATCTGTACAACTGTATTAACAACTCTTCTAAGATATCTTTAAGTAGTTCCACTTTAAACATTTTCAAATATACTGTTTCTTTAGTACAGTTAATGTTCTTCACTTTTCCCTCTTTATACGTTATTGAACCTTAAGTGAGACACTGTTAGACTAGATCAGAAATAGTATACTTACAAGTTTGTGTGGCAAACTTCTTGTAGATTCTGGATTATTGACATCTTCAGTCTTCTGGAGCCAGAACAATTCCCCGGAGCAACTTAACTTTTGGGTTGGAAACACGGAATTATATACACAATTTTTAGTGTTTTTCCGATTGTTCAACAGATCTACTTTTAAAAAGTAATTCATTTAATATCGGTACAAGTGGAATCTTCCAGCAACAAGTGGACTATTCCATCAGATTGTGACCAAAATCCACTTTGTTATTGGTCCTTACAGAACTTATTTTTGTCCATTATCTAATTAATTTATTTGGCGAAATCATCTAAGACAATTAACTTAGGGTGTATAGAGACAAACCGTGTAACTCGGACCTCTTCACTGATATTAATTCACTCATTTGTTTTGTCACTGTTCCGTTAACTGTTTTTTGTGACATTGATTCATTTTTGTGCTTTATTTAAACAACTGCGGTTTTATTTCAACATACCACATCTGTACGGTTCTAGGAGTCGTAGCTGCAACTATCTGTCAAGACTGGGAATGTATCTCTAGCTAACTCATGCATTGGGCTTTAAGCCTGTATCTTTCTTATTTAGTAGTGTGGTTCACTAGTGTCCACGTTTTTTATAACTTTCTATATGCTGAGTTCTCCATACTATACGTTATAGAATAAAAATGTACTTCTTGAAAACCTTTTAATATGTATATACTTAGTATTTGTATTCCACAAATGCTTCATAAACATGATGAATGTTGCGCTGATCACCTTTTAATTTTGCAGTAAGCAAATATCCCAACGCACTTTGCTGCTGATCTACATATACTCACGTGTTCCAAATTTTGTCCAGAGATATTTTGCTAGCCTTATGGTAGCTTTGCATAATAGATATCCAAATCAGCCTGTATATCGTCAATTTTGACTTGAAGTATATATATCGTGTATATATTCTTAAAACAGGCAATGTAATACACAAGGATTGATACCTGCCAAAGAAAATGGTACCGACTCGCGTGGAATATCAAGTATTGTGCGTGTCAATGTACAATATACACAAGTAAGTTCAATGAATCTCCTGACGTTTTAAGGAGGACGCTAAAAAATACTCCTATAACAAAAATGTACAACTGTCGTGTTCACGTCTAAAACATCGTAGCTCATGGATTTTGCTATATTCAGAGTAATAATTGTGTAACTAATGTAGTATGTCATTAAGTATTGCGAGAATTCATGGTCACACTTTTCGTTTTGTGGGAGATTTTAAATAAGTGGTATGTTTCTTTCACAAACATTAAATGATATGTTTATATATTATCTTGGAATTTAAACATAAATATTTCACTTATAAAAATTAAAGTTTCTCATATTTACTCGTTAAACTTTTGCTTGCAATTGCATCAACATATTTTATGATATGATACCAATCAATAATCAATTTTTTTCCCCCATAGTCCTTGCGGACCGTCGAGCCGATGGCAGATCTTGTTCTGCCATCGTTTCTAAAGCTGTTTCTTACGTCAAGGATGCAACCCACTTGACAGCCTTCCCTCTTGTAAAGGACGAGTATGTTTGGTGGGACTGGGATTCGAACCCGCGACCCTCAGATTGCGAGTCGAGCGCCTTATCCACCAGGCCATGCCGGACTCCAGTAATCAATACATACCTTTAATGTGTCTATACTCCACAAAATACAGAGTATGATTTCTGTTTTCTTCTTTAGAGATTAATGATACTGAAATACATTATATGATGTCAAAATGACAGAAGTACATATAAAAGCAAAGAAACAAAAAATGGAGTATCAAGTTTGCATAATATGCAGCAGAGTCACCTCTGAATAACTATCCAAACCTCATGATGAATCATGGTTAATACTTCAATCAGCTGCAAAAGTTAGGCAGTTTGAGCCCATTCCTAAGCTAATTTCTGACAATTTATCTATTTCCCCACAAGTATACTACTACAGAAAATGTATATCAGAGTTCACCCCAAATAAAGGTCTATCAAATCCAAGAAAGTCCACAAGACGTCAATGTACTACTCAGTGAAGAGTTTACGAGAAAATGTGCATTTTCTATAGAAAGTAACATATACATGAAAGGAACAAATAGCTGCAAACTAATTATTTCAGCTGTTCAGTATGTGATATTGCAACCAAGTGCCTGGATGAAAGAATTCTATACTCCTCAAAGACTAAGGACGTCATGCACAACAAAAGACGAAGATAATGACACCTGCCAACTTGATATGATAATACTTAAGTCTGATTTATGCTCTTTAGTAACATACAAAGTGATCTGTTTTGCAACCCACGTATTGTCCTTCCCACAAAACTGACCACCCAGCTCGTTTTCTTTTTCAAAGTGAATGGTATAGATGTGGCTAGAAATGGAATAAAAAATTACCTTTGTCCAAATCCTGAAATGGAGTTGGGAGATTCTTTACACTTTTTCACAGTTTGATGTCGAGTGTTAATTAGATCAGGCAATTTAAGCCATTAAACTGTCTTTACTAATTATATAATTTTGGAAGCAAATTCGACACCTGTGATAAACAGCAAAGACGTAAATCCCAAATCAAACGAGTGACTATATACCTATGTGACCAAATCAAACATAGAACCTATAATCAGTCTTGGCCTCCACATCCTGAAGATTTGAATGAAACCTACCTCTCCTTGCTTGATTGACTGATGCAGTTCCTGAATGCCTTGCTTAATGGTCTGCAAAAACTACTTGCTTGTACTATCTGTCTCACATAGTCTTTTGCCCAAAACATTATAAGTGCTGTAACAACTGGTGAAATATTTATGCCAAAGGACATTTTGCTTCCCTGACAATGTTTATCTGATCAAAAGTATGAATAGAATTGGTCATGGTTGCTCATACTCCCACTTGGAAAAAACCGACACTGCACTCTGTATGGAAAAAAACCCATCAAATCATTGAAGGTGATCACGTTCCCCTTTCTAATGAGTATACATCCATCTACCCCTACAGTAATCCTACTTGACAACACTGACAGACAGGAGGAATTTTTAAGTTGGGCAGGGGCATCACATGGTGTCAATGGCATAATTGTCCAACCTACCTCCTCAATTTGTGTCTCACCAAAACCAAACATAGAAGCTAGTAAGAAGGACAAAGTGGATATAATCAAACCATTAGACCTACATCTTCCACTCTAAGAACAATCCACCACCGATAGTACATTCTGATCTTACTGAAACATTAAAATCTGCAGCACTGAATGCATGTCAACAGTACATCCTATGGATTATGGCTCGTGCACATGATTCAGCTGACCAAACAATAAGTTCATGGATAGGATTTAACATTCAAACACGAAACCACAAAACAGTTACAGAAGACATGGTTGGTTATCTACCTACAATAAATGCACTCTCCACAGAGAGGTCCTTTCTATTCAGTCATCAATACACCTCGATCACATTGTACTAGATCAGATACTGCTTTCCAAAGTGACACAAGTTGCTTGGAGAAACCTGGAGAAGTTTGGAAGCTTAGTGCTGAAGCTTGGCAAATTCCAAGCAATTTGTAGCTTGATGTCAACGATTGGGAAGATGTTTAGTGATGCCTGACTCCGAGACCTGGCTGTGGAGTCAGTCATTGCTGAATGGTCGACCAGTAAAGTGCTTGAGGATAAACATGGACATGGGAAACTTAAATTGTTGAAATTAATGATACGGGATTCAAAGATCCTGGAAGCATTTGCCTCACTTGGCAAGGTTTGAACCTCACCAGATGAAACATTCAGTATTTTTTTTATAAATTTACTTGTCAACTACACTATCCTAACAGCAAAGTATAGTCAATGAGCTGTGATACCAAATGTTCCATAGAAAATGGGGAGAAATTGAATCTGGACAACTCCCACCCTGTGAGCACACACGTTGTGTAAATTATCAAGCCGCTATCTGGCGAGGAAGTCTGATAAACTCCCTATATATTTTATCCCGAGTGCAGGAGATGGGTGGGTAACAGATCTCAGCAGCAATCTAGTTGTGCAGTGGATGACAGGTTCCCCCAGCTCCAGATATCATCCTCAGTGTAATATCATGAAAGTGTGCTTGATCTTGTCGACTTAGTGATTGCACGTGCATTATAAATGAAGTGAAATGCGCAGGGGCATGCAAACTACTTACCTATGCCAAAATGGCGACTAATAAAAAAGTTAGTGAAGATGTACAAGATTTGTCAGATAGTGACGACGAGTAAACACTTTATCCAGTAATCTTCCACACAGCTTTTCTCTTCTTTAGCTACACCCATCACAGCCCGTATCTATTCATCGGTTAACTCTATTAATTTTGTTGGTTGAACCACTACTGGTACTTTGCTGATTTTATTTACTTGGAAGGCCTTATGTTTTAGTCATTATTTTTTGTATCTTTTTTTTCTGCCATTTTCGCTGCGATAACTTTAGAAGGCTATATCTGATCATCAGAAAACTTGGCACAGACATTGCATCAGTCTGTGAAAAGAAGCCTGGTTCGAAATCCAATATAACCGCCAGGTGGCCATACTGGATTTTGTTATCACCGTGATAAGTCTGAAAATCCTCAACCAATCAGTGCAAGAGGTGGTATAAACAACTGATAATCCTTTGTGAAGAAACCTATTCATTTGGAACCAGTACAAAATCCATAATTACTGTCAAGGTGACCATTTTAGATTTTCTTTTCACCACAGAAAGTCCAAAGTACCTCAACCAACCATCGTGACATTTAGTCCAGAAAATCAATTGTCTTTGGGAAGAAGCCTATTGATTTTGAACCCAGCCAAACAGGCTATATGGGTAGCTTAGAAAAATTGGTTGTCCCACTGACTGCGATGGACCCCATGTTTGCTGTGCGAACACTAGACATCTAGTTCTGGACTTTTGTTACTCAATTCTTACAAAGAAATCATTGTTGTAAGTCAAATCTAATTTAACGTGCATTTTGTCAAGGTTATCTTGGATGAAGATGCATTTTTCATGATTTTTGATGAATTCATGGTCACCTTGAAAAATGGTCGACAAAAGTTATTTAGCTGTGGATCTCAAATGGCTAACTAAAAACATAGTGGCATTTAGTCTCTCTCTCTTTGGTAGTCATCTTTCAATTATGAGAGTCTGACTCATAGACTATTGTAAGCTCAGTTGGTTTACCATTGAGCAGGTGATGAAAAACTGACGATCAAAATTGGCACAGTTTAATTAACTTTAGGGTGCATTTTTTATCAAATGTGAATAAAAAATCAAGCAAGGCTTCAGAGAATGTGTATGCATTCTGATTTTTTTTTTGCTTTAACTTGTTTACCAGAATTTTTTTTTTGTGAAAAAATGTTTTTTTATGCCATTTAACTAGTGGTTTTGTATGGGAGCAGAATAATATTTGAAAAAAATAATAATAAAAATATACACTCTGGTATGTGTAAGTGTTTTTGTTATATGAATTACCCATCAACAATCTAGTTTATTATTGTTGTTGTTTATTATTAAGCACAAAGCTACACAAAGGGCTATCTGTGCTCTGCCCACCAGGGTATGAAACCCGGTTTCTAGCGGTATAAGTTCGCAGACTGGGGGGGGGGGGGGCTAGTTTATGATATAATTACATTATAAGTAATGATAATACAAAAAGTTTTTATTTTTTACCTCCCCCATTATTAACCTTGAATATTCTCTCTCTTTAAGGAAACGGTAAAAGCTGAAGTACATAATTGTTTGTCTAATGCATTATGGGATATTGTCCTATCTTTTTTATACATTTTAAAATTAACTGTCAAATGGTCATAAAATACATGATTATGTATATTATCTTTAATGATTGTGTGTGTGTATATATGGCTACCATATTTATTACACTATCCTTAGCTAAAAGAAGTGATGCAACGAATTAAAGTACTGTAGCAATATTACAGCTTGGGCACATATTTCAGAATTCCTAAGACAATCACTTACTTCAGATGTTTTGGCAGTTAAAAGTAAACTTTTAAAAATTAAGAAAACTCTTAATACTGAAAAGTTCAAACTATGTAGTAATTGTTTTGACCTACACTCATATGCATAATAACATAATATTTGAAACTTTTACTTAATACTGTAGATGTATGCATGTCTAAACGTATATATTCATATAAACAGGGCGGGACAAAAATTACTATACATTTGTTTTATTTAGAACACTGTTTAATTTCTAACATCTTACTTGGAAATAAATGATAATTAAAGTGGTTTCAATTGTCTTATTAATATTTTCTGTAATACAACCATACATTACTAACTACACCAAGTGTAAAATTACTACTTTTCCACCCTGTATATATATTATTCTATTTTCCAATTCACGAAATGACATCTTTCATACAATTACAAAAGACAATGAGAGTAATTGCATTTTTCAGGCCTTGTCCCTACGATAGGTAGAAGAAGTATATTTTATTATGCAAACTGTAAGAATTTTTTCTTTAAGAAAACTTAGATTTGTACTTAATCAAGTTACATGCTGGGTCAAGAGAATGAAACCTCAAAAACCAGCAACCTACATTTTTATACCATTATTTAAAATAATTTAAATAAAGATCTAATTTGTTTAGTTCTCTCTTGCACTAACTCACCAATCCAATCAATTGTAAAAAAATTTTAAATGCCCAAAAAAAAATCTTTACTGAGTAGCACTCTCATTAAAATCACTTCAAACACAAATTATTTACAATTCTCGAGATTCTGGGGTCAAAACAACAATTTTATTACAAAGGCCTTCTTCTATGCCACCGACTGGTAGATTAAACTGTCCTTCAACTTGGTGCTTTGGAGCTACTTTGTTTAAATTTCTATTACTTTCACACAGTCTCTTATACTGCCAAACACCCAAGTATTTACTTTTTCCTTGATGTCCATAAACAAAAATCCTTTCAGATGTTGACAGAGTTTGAAGATTATCTACCAAGATTTGACCTTTTCTGGCATGATAAAGCTTTGGAATATTGTCATCCATTTTGAATGAAGATATATCAATCTGATTTGTATGGTTTGTGAAGCAAAAACCTAAGATATACATAAAAGTGTATGTGAAAACAATAACTATGAGTAATAATTAATATTAATCAGAATGAATACAGAAACAACAAAACGTGAATTCTATAATCCATAAGAGTTTTAGTTTGGCAAGAAATGCTGAATATGATTGTTTTAAGATTCATAAGCAATATTAATTATTTTAACACAATCAGTTTTACAAATCATGATTCTACATTATCACTATTTCACTGCACTCTGCCTTATTCACAAATACCAAATTGCATAAAAGTTTTACACTAAAGTTGGGCAAGCATGGCTCATGCTTCATTGCTTCATGCTTGTAGTCAGATAGATAGTTGCAAGATTGAGGCTGGCTCGCATCATACTGTTGTGTTCTTCAGAAAGACACTTTTTCCCACTTTGCTTTTACACCAAGGTCTTAGCATTAAAGCTAACTTGTTTCATTACTTCTATTATTCATGGACAACAAAAAATACAAATATTTTATATTCAACAGTTGAAAAAAATAATGATTGTGCTCCTTACATATCAGCTTGATTTTACAAACATAAAATATACTGAAAGAATGTGAGCATAGAATTCAACAAATATCTTTATAAATTAATTTATATACAAAACCAGTAAAATACCCTTGTCAGCTGAAGATATTTACAAACACAGTAACAGAACAAAATGAGTTGAAAGTTGTTGCTAATCTGTTAATACATCCAACTAAGTTGTATGTATTTACATATCTATTAATATGATACAGTAAGGTGAATGTATACACAAACCTGTTAATATGATAAAGTAAGGTGAATGTATACACAAACCTGTTAATATGATACAGTAAGGTGAATGTATACACAAACCTGTTAATATGATACAGTAAGGTGAATGTATACACAAACCTGTTAATATGATACAGTAAGGTGAATGTATACACAAACCTGTTAATATGATACAGTAAGGTGAATGTATACACAAACCTGTTAATATGATACAGTAAGGTGAATGTATACACAAACCTGTTAATATGATACAGTAAGGTGAATGTATACACGAACCTGTTAATATGATACAGTAAGGTGAATGTATACACGAACCTGTTAATATGATACAGTAAGGTGAATGTATACACGAACCTGTTAATATGATACAGTAAGGTGAATGTATACACAAACCTGTTAATATGATACAGTAAGGTGAATGTATACACAAACCTGTTAATATGATACAGTAAGGTGAATGTATACACAAACCTGTTAATATGATACAGTAAGGTGAATGTATACACAAACCTGTTAATATGATACAGTAAAGTGAATGTATACACAAACCTGTTAATATGATACAGTAAGGTGAATGTATACACAAACCTGTTAATATGATACAGTAAGGTGAATGTATACACAAACCTGTTAATATGATACAGTAAGGTGAATGTATACACAAACCTGTTAATATGATACAGTAAGGTGAATATGTATACACAAACCTGTTAATATACCCCAGTGAGCTGAATGTCCATTCTTACAACAAGGTTCATGGTTTCCATCAGCATCATAGCTGAAACAAGTTAGGGTGAAACAACAAAAACAATGTTAGTTAAAATGTCCAAGAAAATGTTAAGACACACACCAGTAATGCTAAGGAAGTCCTTCAAAATGCCATGTTTATTTTTCTTTACTGAAATTGTTTAATTACAAAACAAACAGATTCCATGATAAATAGGCTGTGTCTTTAAAACTATCAGTATTCCAAAGTATAAAAAAATGCAACAGATAGATACTTTCAGGACTAAACCTGTAAAATGGTTGACTGAGCAGTTTATCATATTTTTATAAAATATTTCATAGTTAAACAGCATTTTAAAGACAGGATTGTCTATCAAAATCTGATACATATCATCTATATAAATATAATAGTACTGTCTGTCTATGTAACTACTTCACAGGGTTTGGATGCGGTTTCACCAAAACTGGTATGGAGATTCATTAGGTCCATGCAGGGGTACATACAAATTTTCAGATTTACATTTTGCAATTCTTATGGGCATTTTTTACTACTACCTCACCTCCTATGGATGGATCTTCACTACATTTGGTATGAAGGTTTGTTGGGTCCATGCGGAGATACATGCAAATTTGTGGTTTCCCATTTTGCAGTTTTTATAGGCACTTTCACATTTTTTTATAATTACATATAGGGGAAGCAACTTTTCATGTCTTCAGATAACCTTTCATTAATCATGAATTTACATAACTTCCATCTAGGAGACAGGTACTCCAGCTAGTAGTAAATAATTTTATCTAAAGACTATGTTAACTGAAAATGAATATATTTTTCCTCTACATACAATTTTACACTTTATAGAAGGTTCTCAAAGTTTTGCATTATTTCTGTTAACAGGAATTCATATGCTGATATAAAACTGTCACATTAACTGTCTTAACTACTAGTATCCCAAATTACAGTAACTGTCATACACTCTATTTGATTAACTTGATAATCTTACAAGTAATTCAATATTATGATTAAAGAAAAAAGATACGGGACCAGTATTGGCCAACCCTCTGCTAAGTGGTGAAGAACTGCTACTGTGTCACTAAGTCCATTTTCCCAAACATCAGCGTTACACTTCAGCACATCCTCAGCTAAAACTGCCATGTTTCTGGCTTGTGGGTTAGTCATGAAACAAAATTGCAAAAAGATTGTAGTAGAAACTTATAAGCTTATCTTAACCAAGAAGCAAATAACATATCAATGATACTGAAGGTTAATGTGAAGGGAACCTCAGGCAAAGTGTTTGTAAATTAGTGTTCTACAGAGTTAACCCTTACATTTTGTAGTTATGTTACAAGAGAAACAAAGAAAGAAAAACTTTGATAACCATAGGTGAAATATGCTTTAAATTAATATTCTACTCATTAACTAAACGTTCAAATCTTTCTTTGCTAAATACAATTGTAATCTTTATATTTAATTGTACGATGTGAAAATAATGTTACTGTTTCTAAATTTTATAAAATTAGATCTTGTAGGAGAACTTATTTAACTGTTCATTCGCAGATATATACTTCTCTAACAATCACTTTCATTTCTGTAATACAACTTGTGGTAATGTTTAGAACATTATACTGCTATGTTCTGTCTTGAAATGTCATAACTTGTATTACATAAAAACCTCCTGAATTCATGAGCCCAGTTGTCTGAATAATAAAATATAATGAGCTCTTACAAAGTGAATATCCTCAAATTTTGTTTTAGAAAGAAATGCCAATGATTAAACATATTTATGGTAATTAATTACAACACAAGAAAGGTTTTATATTACTGAAAAAATTTAATTTAATATAGGAGTAGATCTTTTTATTTTCACAATCTAACCAAACTTTACATTTTAGTTAACACAGAAAATATTGTGTATGTGAGAAGCAACAGCTCATTAGTGTTGAGAGGAAAATAACAGTCATATACCCAACCTTTTACTGTGACTAATATTCCTTTCTTTGATTTCTTTCTTTATTAAGTCTAAGTTTTTTGTGAAGATTGTGATTACAAAGGTAATTAAGTATTCCTATTGTGCTTACTCTAGTACAATATATACCAATTATTACTATTCTCAATACCAGTTATAAGCATTCTTTTTGTGTAGCAGTTAGACTAAAAATTATCACAATTAACATATCTAAACTATCACTTAGAAATCTGAAAAATGAAAACAGGAAAGAACACTCTATAATTCTACATACAAGTAGATAGTTTTATTTTATTTGGGATTTTTTTCTATAATGCATCCTTTTTGATGTTGCTGACTGTGTACTATTCAAATTACACAAGCTTATAAGTATGTTCAAGTTTCGTGTTTTGGTAACCTCTGTGGATTTTAAAAACAAATGATTGGATTTTATCTGATTTATGAGTAACAACTTTCTCCATTTTTTCTTTGAAGATTCTTTCATTAACATTAATATTACACCTATTATTTACTAATTTTGACAATTTGAAGGTTTTACTACACTGTTAGCTTGGTATGTGGACTTAGAACTAACCTAAAACTTCCAAGTTGGCTGAACCCCATGAGATATTACTGGGATTACAAATGAAAACAATGTTAACAGTGAGGATATTCAACTGATAAATCATTACATTTATCAATACTCTACTCATTTGCTGTAAGAGTGGAATCTTAATATGAAACACTTCCCCTACACATTTTTGTTCAGGTGGCTTTTGTTTCAACATCTTTCTGATGAAACTAATATGGCTGTTTCCACTTCTTAACAAACTAACTATCAATATAATTTCTGATTGGCCAATACTTTATTCAGTGTTATGAAAGTGTCTGAGTACAGCTGCAGAAGGATAAATGCTTAAGCATCTACTATGAATTTGACAGTGTAATTGTTTCATTTCATTCCATAAGAAACTTACCAGGTCATATTAAAACAAACCAACAAAACTTTTACTTTTTAACAGTCAGAGGGCAATTCATTTTATGTAGATGACTGACACAGTAGTCTGAGATGGTTACTTGTCCATTATCAAGTTATATAATGTGCTCAACACAGGGATTAACTCTAAATTTTAGCATTACATGCCTTCAAGCTTACCACTGAGTCACCAGGAATGGGCTAGGATGGAGCCTTATTTTTGTACTGATTTCCCCCTCAGTTATGCTTCACTGTAGGTGCTGTACATAATTTCTGAGACTATGAAATATTCTCCTTTCCGTTGTTTAACAAACTTTTGTTGATAGTTTCTGAACAATTTGAACTTGGCTTAATCTATAAAATTTTGCTCATTCCACCCTTTTGTTTGATTACTCCTTTTCAGCAGTGGTCTTCATGAAGCCAAGCATCCAATGAGAGCACTTCAGGGTGGCATATATCTTACTGTTCTTGATATACGTTCACAACTGTATTTACAGCAAGATCTATATTCAATCATAGTTTCTCTCATAAGGAAATTACTCTGAGATTTAGCATAACTTTTGAAGAATTTTGGTATTCTACCTTAATTGCTTCTATCATTAACAGAGTTAGTTTCATGTGCCCTCTTCGGAGTCTTGAATAAAGCTCCAACTGAAAAGAGTCTTGCCACAATTTTTTGCATGGAGTATCGTTCACCAACCGAAACTTTGAGTTCCACATGCTAACCATGCACTATTTCAGTCCTGGGAGTTATGACTGGATTCATATTACATCTAATGGACATAGTATAACTGTCTGTACTTTTATATGCATTATACTGGTGTAGAACTCTCTGATTGGTTGAATGACAACCAATCTCAGCATTATGGCTATATTCTAATATAGTTCAATTTCACAAGAAAAAAATATGGCATTCAAATAGTACTGTCTTTTATAACCCATTTTTACTGGCATTACTGTATATATGCATGTGTGTGTGTCAAACATTTTAACAGAAGTATAACAACTGTTATGAATATGATAATACCTAGCATTACAAAACAAGGAAGAGAATTAAACAAACTTTTGTATTAACAGAGGTTAATAAAACTGTATCAGGTTTAAAAATTACACAAGGTAAAATTTTTTGAGAGGGAATAACTGTTGTAGTAGTATTGTGGTAAGAATATACTTTGTGTTTCTATCATGCAATATTATAGCATTTATTCTGTATATGTACAGGTTTCCCATAACATAAAGTGGAAAAAAGCAATTAAGTTTATTTCATTCTATCCACCTTTGTTTCACTGTCATTTTCCGGAGATAATACCTGCTCTGCCTAAGGGAAGGTATATTGTTGTGCAAGAATTTCAACATCAGTGTCTTTTAATGGGTTTTCAGGTGATATCTAGAGGTTATGGCCCCATCTATGATGTAATGAGAATGATCAGTCATGTGGATAGTACTAGATGCCATGGGTAAATGTGAGGTTTCTTCCAAACTAAGGAATATTGCATTTAAACAGTCTGGAATAGGATCTTGAAAAGAAAACCATTGAGAGTATCCACTCAAAGTGACAGTACATTGTATTCTTTATTTGTGTTTAGTGTTTAATAAAGACTGTGCATATTTGTGTTTTCACTTTGTGTCCAGTCTTATTATTCCATTTTACATTGGCTCAGTTACTAAAACATTTAATATTGCTTTGTAATCTGTATCTTGATCAAATCTCCTTTTATCAAGCAGACATGTCTGATACACTTTGAAGATTCATTTAGTTTCATCTGGAATATCACAGTATCATTCAATAAGCAATGGGATACTCAGTCTCTCTAATTATTCACCAAAGTGCAAGAGTAAAACCAGTATGAAAATAACAGGTAAATCAATCAGAAAACAATATTAATTATCAAACTTAGGCGATCAAACCCCCCACAATATACATGTATCTATTGTCCATTGCCTGTTGCAGATATTGTAATTATTATTCCCGATAAACATTGCTATAAAAAAACTGATGTTAATGTATTATAAAACAAATACTACTGAAATTAATAAAAAAACTATGACAACTTGCAGCATAGTTTAGTTTTTAACATTTTCACACCAACCATTATTGTTAATTATTGCATTAGAATAAAATATTCACAGCTAGCCATAAATGGTGGATGTGAATGGTTCAACTTGGAGCATTGAAGCCTTCTTCATTTGATTTTCCTTTTAACCCTTAGTGCACAGGAGAGGGTCAAAGTGTGCATACTACAATCTTTTCAGAATGACACTCAACATGGTATTATATGTATTTGTTGTCAGTTACCCTTTACTGCTGATTTAGTGGTAGTTCATGTTGGAGGAGCGTAATTACCAGATACAATTCACAGTGATACTGAACAAAACTTTAGATATGCATTTCTGAGGCTCTAGAAGTTATGCAATTGCAATACACATGCTGTACAATGGACAAAAGTATTTTTCTTCATCATATGAACATTATTTTGCACTCTGACTTCCCAGAGTTTGAGTCAGACTAATGTTGTCAATTCATGAACATATCTTGAGTACAAAGATTTTTACAACTTCTGATTTTCTGTACACATCAGACTTGTACATTTTACTAAAAGCTGGCTACCTTTAATGTAGGTACACATAGTCAATTTGGAATTATGGTTGACACTCCTTTTCTAATACAGGGCTGGTCCAATGATCTGTCCATTCACATTCGTTAAATCTTTATTCTATCATTTAAATAAGGTTGGGGCTGGCTTGTTTGCAAGGGCTATTAACTCAACTGTAGAGGCAGCTTCGAACTAGGTCTAGACAGTGGTAAGGGCCAGAATAATGATCAAAAAATAAAATATAGAGAAAAGTAAGGTATAAGAACAAACAAAAAGTATGTTTTAATAATGGTAGATTAACTATTACTATTTTAATGTTAGAAGTATGAGCAATAATTGAATGACTTTAAAGCACAGGTCAGAAGAGAGGATCTTGATGTAATTGTAATACTAATAGTCAAAACCTGGTTACATGTAGGATTTTGATGATAGGAATTTCTTTGAAATACAGAGTTATAGGTTGTTTAATAGGGATAGAGTACTAAAAATATATAAAATGTGAGATACATCCTGTTCAAGTTGAGGATATCAAATCTAATAGTAATGAGATTGAGTCTCTTTAGGTTTCTGTTCACGATTATAAGGGAAGAAAGCTTTTAGTTGGAATTTGTTATATACCACTAGTGACATAAAGTATTTAGCTGTTAA